AGAGAGAGAGACCCTCAAGAAACTTGGAGGGAGCAAGAGAGGCATGCCTCAAGAAATTTCACCATCAAGATTTGGGATAAGAACCGTGAATCTAATTTTCATCTCTAAGAATATCTGGGGACTCTATCATGTCTTCCGTTATAAATGCCATATAACCCTCAACTATGTCAAAAACGTTTGTGTGCTTGTTTCCTAAAAAATAGTAGAATATCAAAACAAAATTTCTTAGAAAGTAGGAAAAGCGCAAAATTAAAATAGAATGAGAACCGCATGATGAGGATTGTGATATGTAGGGTATGATTTAATCATATAAAGATTGGGATTGATACAATCTACCATATGAACTTCTATAAAGGATATGATATGATTATTTAACTTTGTAGTGGGTGAAATTGGTATATTGTAAATATCAAGAAGGGAAAATTGGGAATAGAAAAGATACATGTGGCAAGAATAAAGGGGGTCACCTTCTCGCTTAATGTGTATAATAGATAAGTGTGCATGTGCGCGTGCACACGATATTCTAGAATGCACCATCCTAGTGGTGATTTAAAATGGCAGATCACAGGTTGATTACTATTATCTGGCCACTCAAGGTCGTTATTAGGTAATAATCCATGGGCCTTATCCTGTGGTTGCTACATCATCTAGCGCAGGGGTGCCTTGTGCCATAACCGTCTCAACCTGCCTCCTCCATAGCCATCAGAGTTTTACTTTGGTACTTATGTGGGGTTGGATGCTTAGATGTTGGGCCCACGGCTCGGCCTCGTGTGGCATTGATTTATAACATTCCTGTGCGATGGTAATAGCCCCACATGGCAAGACCAAGCTATTGGCCTGGTGTGGCCAGAATCACGTATAATGCTCGTCTATGACGAAACGGGCTTTGGGCAACCATGCATGAGGCATTAGTGCCTTGGTAGTGGACCTGACATGTTAGAAACTCCTTTTAATGTCTAGAATATTCCTGTGACATACGCCTTTAGTGCGCATGCTTGATTTGGCATGTGTCAGGCTATGTGGCTGTGAGAACGTGCAGGTTGTAGCTGTAGTGGGTGCCTGATTGGTCACCTGTGTGAGGCCTACACGGAGCTATATATACCCCATACTCCTTTGGGGGGCATTCGGTACCATACAAGTTGGAAGTTGTACAAGTAAATGTGGGCAGCTGCCTTTAAGAGATTTTGCTAGATCTCTTTGGCTTGTGTACTGGATGGCTAACTTAGAAAATAACTCTCAAAAAAGAAAAATGCTGATCTTTAAAGAAGTTCATTACCAACCTTCCTGATCTAACGATCTTCTTGCGACTCCAAAGAGATGATTATTAGTATCAGTAGGCCTACCAAAAGCAAATGACATAATGGCTCCCTTTCTCTTAGGAAATCAAATTTCCTAGTAAATCCTTCTTTTACTGTAATCACCAACTGAGAAACTACCGGGGTTTTCATGACTTATTATTTTTGGTTCTGGTTTTTGATAAATCATTAATAATTTGCTGCAAGTGTCATCCATAAATCATTATCTAGAGTGGACATAGGTGATTAAATTTATAATTAATCTCCACCCTCTTATCATTGAGAATGGTCAGTAGATGCCCTGGTTGCGTACCATATATCACATGCCGGCTGGCATGTGTTACTATAGGAGCACAGTGCATTGTATTTTAAGCTAAACTTTTGGATTGCACATTTTCTTTTGGCTGAAGTGTTGGTGTTGTTACCATTGTAGATAAACGCTTGCCATCGGTTACAAATTTCGTGTTGAATTAATTGGGGACCTGCTGTTTTGGTCTGCTGACTTTGGCATCGAATAAAGCCCTTGTGAAGCTGGCCACAAAGCAATTTTGCTACTGAACATGCGGTGAACTATGGCAGCAAATTCATGGAGGTCTGGATCTGGATCTGGAAGATATCCCTAGTTTATTTGCATATCAAGAAAAACCAAATATAGGGATCCAGCTTTGCGTCCCGTTTAGCTTTGGGGACAAGAGAAGGCCAATCTGGTTTCTCTTATCTTTTCAATTATTATTTATAGTTAAGTAGTTCTGTGTGGCTTGATTTGCTTTCAGTACATGGATTGCTTTTGAGAAACTATGCTTAATTCATGCTGGACGATGCTTTATGTGGAGCTGTACTGCGCATGAGTGTATCAATAAGAATTTGCAGCAATGACTATCCTATGGTGCTCAGTGATGCTTGTATGGTTTCGAACCTTGCGGACTTGTATGACCCCTCTCGAATCTTTGGAGAGGAACACAGAAATGTCATTTACCTTTTTTGTTTGGTGATATGTTAACGGTGTGAATGGAGGGTGGGACGTTATGTTGAGGCATCGGCCGATATTAATGAATGACATTATCGAAGGGAAATGTGAATTCCAAAAAGAATAACTTATTCAAATTTTAGAGTGATAGAATTTGTAACAGTTTAAATAATTTAAAATCCTAAATCTAAAAACGAGGAAAAGAAATCAACTTGAATATTCCTTTTTGTGCTGCATGAAAAAAATATTAAAACAAGAGGGTTTAGCATTTCCATTAAATGATGACCTTGTCTTCTGTTTTTTGGATAACTTTTCCCATTAAAGTGTGCTCTTTCATGTGCACATTGTTTATTTCTTCCTGCAGGTAAAACGTTTGTTCTTTTGACCTTTTTTTTTTTTCAAGAAAGCTTGAGATCCCCTTTACACTTCTGGATGATTATTTTGGAAATTATATGCTTTAAGTATGTCATTTTGAAGGCTTAAGTTTACAATTCGCTCCCACAGGTGCATAGTGTGCTCCCTACCATAAGGCCTGGATCTTTACTTGGTTATTTATATGGTTAGGGACTTGAAGTTCCAGACACATGGGTCAAACCTCAAGTTCTGAACTGACCATATATCTATCATCATTATCATTCAAGTTATATTCCATTTACTCTAGGATTCATTAGGATTCATGACTACGTTGGCTGACTATTTAATGCAACCAACTTTTTTTACTTTTATATATATATATAGAAAAAAAGTCTTTCCAACTAGGTGAAAATAAATAATGTTTTCGTCTACCTTTACTACCGTTTAAATTTCATTGCGTGGTCACGATTGTTCGTTAGTGTTTTATTTTTTATTTTTTTTTTACAAATCAGAATGACTTAAAATTTGGAAGGTATGTACATCTTACTGAGGTGTATTTAATAAATATATATAAAAAATTATCGGCGAAAAATAAATTGACCAAAATACTCTCGAAACTTTTTAGGGGTATTTTGATTAATTTTTTCATGTAAAATATTTTTTTTATAATTTTTGAAGATTCCTTTATTTTTTATGAATACACGTTCTAAATTTCAGGTCAGTCTGATTTGTAGAAAAAAAAATGAAAAATGAAACACTACCAGACAATTGTGGCTGCGTGATGAACTTTGGTCGGTGATGGGGGTAAGAGAAATCATTGTTCA